ATATCATACTTAAGTCATTTAGACATCTTTCATGAACAACCCATTAAAGTAAACATTATTAATATTTATTTGTTGAATGGGCTAACCATTAGAGATAACTAGAGTGTGAACCTCTAATTGTATTTAGTTTTACCATGAGGTGAAAAACTAATAATGGGAATATGATGAAATCTCTTAGCAACAATCTAACCTTAGACTTGTTGATAGTTCCATTAGAATTTTATTTGGTCTTAAAAATTGTACTTACAATCAATAATCAACTTTCATTAAGAAGATTTTAGTGTTTGGTTTAGAAATTAAAAGGCGTATATGATGGACTCTAGGTTTAATTGCCACTAATTTTGAGCAAGTTAACATGAAAAAGGTACTGTTGGATGGGGAAACAAAATTTATGGTGAAGACTATACAAAATATAGTGATAAAAATAAGTTTTAATTTGATGATGTGTACTAACTAGAAATAGGTGTGCTATGGGAAGATGATGAGAAGGAAAAATGCTAAAAAGGAGAGTTGGATGGTGCACATGAAGATATGTGAGACAATAAAGATAGAAAATTTAAAAAGAATGATTCTAAAGGAAAGTCATTTACTTGAAACTTGAGTATTAAGAAGTGTAAATGAGACAAAAAAGAAGAAGAAGAAAGAAAGAAAATGAAAATAGTTTCATCAAAAGTAACTTCATCTCTAATATTAGTTTTCCATTGACATTTAGACATTTGTAAACTCTACATTGGAATATCCCTAAAATGTACACTTTGGTAATTTAAAAACCTTTAAAGATTGTAAATCAAGAGTTTTGGTCAGTAAAGTTCTAACATATTTGTTAAAAATATAATGAATGTGGTTAGTGAGAGAAACAATAGTATGGAAAGGAAAATCTCATACTTTAATAAGTAGAAAATATTAAGATAAAATAGATAATCGCTTTAACAATATGTTCATTCTAGTGTTTTTCATCTTGGTGGTATGTGTAAGGACAAATTAACCTATGCTAAATACCTAAATTTGATAAATACTAAGTACATGGACAAACACCAATGACTTTTATAAGAGTATAATCTTTGATAATATATTATCTTCCTTTTTGACATTGTGAATTTTGGTTCAAGTTTGTTGAACTTGTGCTTTCATGTAAGTGTTAAACTGATTTTGGTTGTTGTTTCGCAACTGAAACATGTGCGAGAATCGTTCATGTTGAGATCAATGAAAAGAATAACTATTATAGTTGTATGAGAAGAAATTGATATTGTTGTTCCCAATTTCAACATATTGGATTCTCAAAACTAGATAATGATCTTCGTAAAAAAAAAGAAAATTGAAGAAGAATTCCTAATGTAATTAGAAAATAATATTTCTCTCTTAAAAAGTTAGAATCTTTGACTTTTTTACAAATAAAATAGGTGAAATTTAGTACAATGGTTATTGGAATCAGAATGATGAAATATTATTAAGTTATTAGCTTTGATGTTAATAAAGAAGGTGATTCAAGTAGATTGTTTGTCATGTTTAAGCTTTACAAGCATGTTAACCCACACGGGAAATATATAAATATAAAATATAATAAAATAATAAAATCTATTACTTCCTAAATAATGACTAGATAAAGTCAATTTTAGAATTGTGAACAAATTTATAAATTAACTAAAAATCTAACAAAAAAAACTACATAAATATCATATAATAATATGTGTAAATAAATACAATTATAATGACCTATACATTATTACCAATGAAAATAAAATAATCTTCCATTTATAATAATATATAATGTGTTATACTTAAAATAAATACTTTCTATAAGAGAACAAAATTACAATCTTGCACATTTTTAAGAATGAAAAATAAAAATAAAAAAATTTATTTTTTAAAACATTGTTTATTGCAAAGAAAAACATTTTTCTAGCTTTGAAGTGAAGTTTCGTGTCAAGTGAAGTGAGGTAGTAATGACATGATGAGTGACCCAAAGTTAACATACCTATTTTGAGATGCTTGTGCATGTGTGCCATTGGAGAGAAAAACTTGAAAAGGATTATAATGCATAGTAATGTGACTAAGAAAATAAAAATGATACTAAACTACTTTGGATTTAAAACAAAATATATGAATTTGAATTTAAAATGAATTCATTAAAATAGACTGAAGATGAATTGAATTTGGATAATTATGAATTAGATTAGTATATTTAGATCAACCATTTTGTCATCCATCATATTCTTTCTCCTTGATTTCCATTAGAGGATGAGTATTTAATATTAAGGTGGTGTTAGTTGACTTGAGGATGTGACTTCATGGTAGTCGCAGCTTGACCAGAGTTATTTTGCTTGATTATTTAAAATATTTACTACAACAATCCTAAGTAAAAAGCCATAGACTCAATTTTATCATACAAGAGAGTTACAAATTATTGTTGATAAGTAAAATAATGGGCTCATTGACATGGAAGGTTGATAAGGAGAGCATTAAGTTGTCTTTGATTTAATGAAATATCTTCCATGACTTCGAATCAACACTAATTGATTTTATGAGGAGTATAATCTTTTATAATATATGATATCTTTATTGACATTGTGAAACTCAATTCAAAGTTGTCTAGTTAATGCTTGGTGGCAATATTGAAGTGATTGTGGATATTGTTTTATAATTGATGTAGATGAGAGAATAACTTGTATTAAGATCAACATGAAGTGTCATAATTATATCTATATGAAAAGAAATTGATGTTACAATTCCCATATTCCATATTTAAGATTTTTTAAACCTAGATTATGATCTAGATTGAAAAGAAATTTCTAATTCAACTAGAAATTAATAAAATTAATGAGTCTTGAAAATTATATCCACTTATTGTTATCTTCCTAAAAATTAGAATTACAGAATTTTCAACCATTAAACATGTGAAATTCACCAAGGTTGAATTTTCTGTTGATAGGTAAGAAAAAATTATTCTATGTGGATTGATGCAATTTTTGGACTTCCAAAGCTCATTTTAATGTGTGAGAAAAATATTGAAAGAAAAAAAATATAAATTGATAAAGTGTATTTTTCAAATATTATATATATATATATATATATATATATATATTAATTAATTAAATATTATAAGAAAATTATAAAATTTAAGATAGTAACATATATAATTAATTACAGTTATAAGATGAAATAAAATAATCTCATATTTATAAAAGTATATTCAACGGTACCCTTGTTTGTAATATAGGATAGCATTACATGTGGCAACTTTTGATGAACAAAAAATAAAATAAAAAAGTGATTTATTTTTAAAAGCTAAAAAGAACATTATTATATTTGAAAAAGCTAAACACTTATTCTTTTATTGATAAGAATGATAATAAATCCTTAATAACTTTTGCAAATCTACTCTCAAAAAAACCATCCTCAAATATAAATAAACTCCTTAAGTAGAGTACATTCAAATATAGTTTTATTAAATTTAAAACAAAAGATAAAAGCAGTGAGTTTGTATGGTGACTAAACCCATTGAATAATAAAGTGGTATTCATAAGCATTTAAAATTACCAAATGAAGATTGCTTATTAATTACTCCCTGTAAATTGTTGAGAAGTTGGCCCTGCACATGGGTGAGAACCTCCAAGGGTGTTGGTCAGGGAAATTTATAAAATTGTCTTACGTGCATTGTTAAATAGATCGTTTGCATGTGAGCAACAAATCATAAAGTTACTTCCATGTACCGGATCCGTATCTGAGTCCCAAGATAAGAGAACAGATCTCAGACACTATTCTTCACATAAAATATTATGAAATTTGAAATGAAGTTGGGTCCTCCAAAGTTAAAGAAGCCAAATCCAAACAAATTATATATTATCACATATTTCGTTTCAAACTGCCTTCAGTTTGTGTACACAAGCTGTGTTACTCAAACTGACACTTCTTTTACTGCAGATTTTCTTTCTCTCTTTATTGGGTTTTAAATGCATATCTCTCTCTCTCTCTCTCTCTCTCTTTATTGGTTTATAAGTAAAAACTGTTTTTCAAAAGGTGATACGTGTAATTTCGGTGTTGCTTATTTAAGCATATGGTGCATTTATGTCATGTAATAAAATTATATTAAACTGTCGCTATTGTTCACTTCACAGTAGGAAAGGGAATAGAACATTTGGCCTGATTTCTTGTTTAAGCCAAACAAAGAAGGATGAAGCATGGCCAAATTATTTACAAAAAGTGGTTAATGAAGTCAAGAATATATTAAAGCTCATGAATTGGACTTTACTACAAGCGAATAACAAGTGGTATCAGCAGGATATGAATAAATAAGGTGTTTTGTTTTAGTCAAATATATAGTATGAAAAAACAAAATATAAAAGGGAAATTGAAAGATTTTTCTCTCTCAACTCATGGTTTACAATCTCTAATTCCTTAACCATTCAATCAAATCTAAACTTTATTAAACGATAAATGGTCCTTTTTGATTTGTTCATCAGTTTTTGCAGTCTTTGCCTCATTCATTGTGACAATAACAAATAGTTTAATTAAACAATAAATTTATCTTTTTTTGTTCTATAATGATGGTATATTTCTATTGGTACGGCTTTGTTGGTGATCAGTCAAAAGGGGGAACAATATGTAGCCAAACCTGTGGCAAGAAACAATACAATTCAATACAATCCCCCTTTGCCATCTTCTCACCTAAGCACATCACTGTTCTCATTATCATCATCCTCTTCCCCGTTAATTCAATTTCAGACCCTTTCCCTTCTCTCCTTAGCTACCTTTCTTTACTTCCCAATTCAATGAACACCCAAAACCCAATACTCACGTGCATGCCACGTGTCACGTGAAATCACCCTCCTCCTTCTTCTTCATCCTCTTCTTCTTCCACTACCCCACAAATCCTCTTCGACCCTCTTTAAAACCCTCTGCAAAGTTCGAATCTTTAGCAGAAAACAACAAGACCCCGAAGAAGCTTCTCCGCAATGGCGTGACCAATGATTGAGTAGCTCAGCTTCTGTGATCTTTCAGCAATGGGGGTTTGCACATCGAAGCCGCAGAAGCCGAACCCTTACGCGCTTCGCGAAGCCGAAGCCGACCCTTCGCGAATTCCGAAAACCCCACTTAGTCCCACCGCCGAGAACCACCGCCGGAAAGATGACGTCACCGCCGGGAAACAGTCCCCGTTCTACAGCCCCAGCCCCGCGCGCTTCCTGAAGAAGTCTCCGGCGCCGGAGGGAGGGAGCAGGAGCGCGACATCCACGCCGAGGAGGTTCTTCCGGCGGCCGTTCCCTCCGCCCTCGCCGGCGAAGCACATAAGGGCGGTGCTGGCGCGGCGGCAGGGGAAGAAGGCGGCGGCGGCGGCGATACCGGAGGAGGGGGAGGATGGCGGTGGAAGTGCAGCGGATTTAGATAAGAGGTTTGGGTTCTCTAAGGAGTTCACTAGTAGGTTGGAAGTTGGTGAAGAAGTGGGTCGAGGGCATTTTGGGTATACTTGTTCTGCTACCTTCAAGAAGGGTGAGCTTAAGGGTCAACAAGTGGCTGTTAAGGTCATACCAAAAGCAAAGGTTAATTTTTTATCTTGAATCTTAATCTTGCTCATCATATCCTCCTCTGCCTTTCATTTGGTGCATCACTTGGTACACTCGGCAGTTCTGAGATTGGCGTTGAGTTCCAACTAATTTGGATCTTTTGCTGGAGATAGCTTTTATGTCGTCTCGATTATTTGTATATAAGGAGTTAAGGCTTGTGTTTTCATCTTCACATCTTTTGTTGCCAGATGACAACAGCAATTGCTATTGAAGATGTGAGAAGGGAAGTAAAAATATTGCGAGCTTTGAACGGACACAGCAATTTGATACAGTTCTATGATGCATTTGAAGACCAAGATAATGTCTACATTGTAATGGAGTAAGTCTGGAATATTTGTTTATGGTTTCTCTTCAGTTATATTGTAGCTGCAGTGCTTTCTGGCCATCCTAGTGAAGTTTAACAATAACTTTTCTCGTAGTGCAAATAAAATATCTTATCACAACCTTAATACAACCTTTTTAGTGACACCTGCACAATATATTAGGTTATCATTTTTTTTTTCTTTTTAGAGTGCCCATTGCTTGTTGATTTATTTTGCTTTATAATGTTTTTGTAATTGGCATCCTATTGACATTGCAGGTTATGTGAAGGGGGGGAACTCTTAGATATGATATTATCAAGGTAATTTCATTTAACACACCTGCTTTGCTTTTTATAATAATAAGAAAATTTACCTTTGGAATTGTACCTTGCCACCTACTAAGTGTGTGATTTATTTCTTCTTTAGAGGAGGGAAATACTCAGAAGATGATGCAAAGGCTGTGATGGCGCAGATACTAAATGTTGTTGCATTTTGTCATCTTCAGGGTGTGGTGCACCGAGATCTTAAACCAGAGGTGAGCATATTTTTTTGCAATTCTTTCATATGGTTAAAGCCTCTGAATCTGCTATATTTTCAGACTCATCTAATACACTAGCTAGGCATGGAAATGGTAAAAGGGGCATGGGTGGGTTACCCATTTTTAATTGAATTTTACGCCCCCTCCCCAAAGATGCGCCTCTCCTTTTTTCTTAAGTCACAGGCAAAATGTTTGTTAAAGCTTACTAACTTTTCTGCATGAGTCCTAGCTAGATTGTTTGGAATTTTCTAGATAACCTTCAATTTAGTATTTCTGTTTCCTTTTAACGATTTTGTTTGTTTCTTTTTACCTTCTTCGTCCAAACATCGTTCAGTTGCAGTGAATAGGTAAATTATAAGGCATGATTTCGTGACCCTTTAGTTCACCAGCCAATTGGGGACTAGCTCATGCACTAGCTTATTTAATATAGGTTTTGGTGGTTAGAAAACAAAGTAAACTATAAATAATAGCAAAGCAAATTCCATAAAGAAATTGTTTTGCCATATAAATAAACCCCTTATTTGTAGTTTAGATTGACTCATTGAATATGAATTTCAACCTGGACACCGTTTCATATTGTCTAACCCCATTGCATTTTTCTTTCAGAATTTTTTGTACACTAAAAAGGATGAAAGTTCTGAGTTGAAAGCTATAGACTTTGGGTTATCAGATTTTGTCAGACCAGGTCTACTTTTACAAGTCCTTACTTGGTAGTTGGTAGATGTATCCTTAACCTCATGTGAGTTTGGGAATGATCTTGTTTCTTGTATTGAGACTTACAGATGAAAGGCTTAATGATATTGTTGGAAGTGCATACTATGTGGCCCCTGAAGTTCTCCATAGATCTTATAGCACAGAGGCTGATGTGTGGAGTATAGGCGTGATAGCATATATTCTTTTATGTGGTAGTCGCCCATTTTGGGCTCGGACTGAATCTGGTATTTTTAGGGCAGTTCTGAAGGCTGATCCTAGCTTTGATGAAACACCGTGGCCCTCTTTGTCCTCAGAAGCAAAGGATTTTGTCAAACGCTTATTGAATAAGGACCCACGGAAGCGAATATCTGCTGCTCAGGCTCTAAGTGAGTTATTCTTTTTACCTCTAACATCAATGACATCCAGTAAGATACTATTCAAGCTGCCACCAATAATCTTGCGCATGCAGGTCATCCTTGGATACGGCATCACAATAACGTAAAAGTTCCACTTGATATTTTAATATTTAAGCTCATGAAGACATATATGAGATCATCATCCTTACGCAAGGCTGCCTTAAGGGTGCATATTTCTGACCACAAGTATTTTCAATTTAATTTTCTCCACTAATTGTACTAATTACTTTTATTTGTCTCTTTCGCAGGCCTTGTCAAAAACATTGACTGCAGATGAACTATCTTATCTGAGGGAGCAATTTTCACTGCTAGAACCAAGCAAAAATGGCAGCATATCTTTAGAGAATGTTAACAAGGTTTGTCGACCTAGTCGTCCATTCAATGCTTATGAAATTTATCATTGTTAGATTCCACAAGTTTTTCTTATTCATATTTTCTGGGGCAGACCTTGATGAAATACGCAACAGATGCCATGAAAGAGTCTCGCATCCCTGACTTTCTTACTTCGGTAATAATACCATGTGTTCCGTGTATATGGATTTATCCCTTAATTTGACTTGTTTCTCTCTTATGTGTTCCTTCTATTTCTCTTTTTACGACAGCTGAATTCTCTACAATATAGAAGGATGGATTTTGAAGAGTTCTGTGCAGCTGCATTAAGTGTGCATCAACTTGAAGCTCTTGATCGTTGGGAACAACATGCCCGCTGTGCCTATGAGCTTTTTGATAAAGATGGAAACAGGGCTATTGTCATTGAAGAGCTTGCTTCAGTACGTTAAAAAGAAAAGCATTTCACTCTTAGACTAGTAGCGATTATTCATAATGCTGCATTTACAGTTATTTCCTTTAGAACCGATTTATATCCGTGTGCTTGTAATTGATGTAGGTTGTAATCCGTTTTTTTTTTTTTTCAAGGGGGGAGGGGATAGTTACAGAAAATTTGTTAGAAAGATCATAAAGTACAGCTAAAGGTGGAAAAGGAATCATCCTCCATAGACCGTAGGGCAAGTAGAGAAACAAAAGACTAATGGTGGGGGTAGTTACAATTGAAACTAAAAATTGGAAGGGGTAGTTGCAGAAAATTTATTAGAAAGAACAAAAAGTGCAGCTTATGGAGGATGAGGAATCAATTAGAGAGTAGGGGAAGTTAAGAAACTAAAGACCCGAAAAGTAGATGTATAGCAAGGCTGCCCAATCTACCATTGCGTCATAAAGATGCTTGGCCATAAACACCACCCTTTCACATAATAGGTGAAGAGACTAAAGATGCCATTAAAAATTCATGCATGGTCTCCAACCAATTCAACAATGGATTCCAAAAATAATTTATTAACTACATCATGCATGATTTAATAAGCATATGCACTTTGTATCCGCCACTTTGTATATATAGAAAAGAATATGCGCTTATTTGAACTGGTTACTGCTGGATCTGTCAAGAATATTCTGATGTGACTCTTGTTAATCATAGGGAATCATAAAAATTTGTAAGTACAATTTGTAACTGTTTAGTTCATGAGTATATATGACTAATCCTCATCATATTTCTTCAAAATATTGTTTTAGGAACTTGGACTTGGTCCTTCTATCCCTGTTCATGTTGTTCTTCACGACTGGATACGCCACACTGATGGGAAATTAAGCTTTCTTGGGTTTGTGAAATTATTACACGGTGTATCTAGCCGAAGCCTTGCGAAGGTTCAATAAAATTTAAAGCAGAGGCAGCCTTATGTGGCTCCACTATATTTGGATTTGTGTCTAGTTTGCGCTGGAACTGACTATAGTCTTGCTGCTATCTGAAGCTCTTGCTAGCACACCCATTTTAAAAAGTACAGGTTCATAATGAAATGCAACTCTGATTCTTTTGAAGGAGCAAAAATTGTAAAATAGCCTACAGATCGTTGGTTTAAGAATTAATATATGAATTGTAGAATTAGATTAGCTTTGTCTCTGTGGGTGGTAATAATTTCCTGTCACCTGATTAATGAGAATGCTTTTGTATAACCATACGTTTGTGGGTCTTCAAATTTTAATCTTAATTTTATTATAAGTTGTGCTCTGAGGGTGTACTTTACATTCTATGAATCAATTACTTTCCTCATTCCATAATAAGCTGTTTAGAAACTAAATAATTAGTGGAAGCTGCCGGGCGATTCCAATTGTTTGGAATGAGTGAAAAATGTCCACCATGATCCGCATTCCGATAAGCTCACTGCCCGGTCAATCGTGTCGTATCTATCAATTTTAGTTCAATTTTCAATATTTTACTTCGGTATCTGTGTTACTTGGTTTACATACATTTCCAATTGTACAATCACAAGTATGAAGTTACTGCATTTCCGTAGTTGGTCGCTTCTAGGAAACAGAGGAATTGGTTGTATTATGGCGTGTAACATGCTACATGATTCTAAGACATGCGGCGTTGATGTTTGAGTATTTGTTAAAAAGTTTTGAAAATTAATATACTAAAATATTTTGAACTATCAGAAGTGCAGAGGACTGCAGAAGAATCATAGACTTGATTACAGAATTTGAATTCATTTTTGCTGTTTCTTAAAATGTAATGCTACGTTGAATTCGGTAAATTTAACTATTTTTATCATAAGCTATTCACTTTTTCGTAGTATTTCACGCCTTTACATTTAAAAATATGGTTTGAAACAGTTTTGAGTTATCTTTGTTTTGAACTATCTTTTTCCTTTTAGGTAGCCTTTTGTTACCTGCTTGCAATTGCAGAAAGTCTTACCATTGTTGGCCATCACCAAAGAGAAGATTTTTCACAACGATATGAAAAATATAACTAGCTTCATCAATTGTTGATTTGATGTAAATTTGTCCTTTCTCCGCGCATCACCGATGTCTATTTGAATGAAAATATGGTAACAGTACGTGAACCATGTTACACCAGTATACATACCAGAAAACAATAACCAAACTACCTTTGCATCACAAAACAAACGCCTCTAATTTCCATATATATATATATATTTCAAACATTATACAGATGGACTGAAGCGGACAACATATTTATCATCAGATTACATCAGCTTAACATATTGAAGCAGTCTCTTGGTTTTGAACTGCTACTGATGAATTTCATTGAAGAGGTTGCGGATTAAGCACCGAACCTCACTAAATGAAACAATGCTCGGGCCTAGAATCTCACTAGAGTAAAAAAGGAAGCAAGTTTTAACCTTGAAGGAGGAAAAAAGGATGTAAAAGACGAAACCAAAATGGGGGAGAGTATTATGGTAGACACCGGCATTAGAATTGAAAACTAGTATGAAACATTAACATTCATATACGAATAGAAGAAAACAATGTTAGTAGTTCAGTCCTCTACATTCACAAGACGAGAGGCATGCCATTAAAGTTAGACAGCGCCACCAATCTTATCATGTATTCTAATTCTACACCTGGCTACCAACGACAGAAAGCTCAGAAGTTATTAAAAGCTAAAACTAAAACACACTTCTTGTCATAAAACACACAATGAGATTGCTGTCTTGCGAGGCAGTTGGTAGTTATAATGGTAAAAAGGGAACAAAGTAAGGAAGTACTATCTTGAGGAAAGCTTGTGGTGCAAATCATCAGCAAGGGCTTGCCTCAATTTTTCCCCAAAGTAATAAAAGGATTTCTCGCTGTCCATCACCCTGGGCAGAGGTCCACTCTCGTCGGGCTCCTTCCACAGCTCAGGTTCCGGTTCCCTCGCAATCTGGCAGAGGTTGTGCAAGACGCAACAGGCAACAATGGTTTGGGGGGCGTGATGGACCCCGGTGTTCAAATCCTGAAGGATTTTCCACCTCCCCTTGAGAAGCGCAATGGCCTCCACCACCACGGACCTTCCCTTCATGAGCATTCCATCGAACAGGTTCTGCGCGGGGGTGCCCATCCCGCTGGGGGAGAAGGGAGTGAGGAGAAAGGGCAGGAGTGGGAAGCACCAGTCCCCCACCACGTAAGGCCTGACGTGGTGGCCGCGCACGCTGATGACCTTGTCCCACACGACGTCGCCGGAGGTGAGGCGATGGTAGAGGAGGCTGTCGCGGAAGTGGGTGGCGTCATCGGTGCCGCCGGGGGCCTTGACGCAGACGTCCCAGAATATTTTCTTGTGGTCGGAGACGACCTGGAGGAGTAAAGAGGGGTAGCCGTAGCGGCAGCGGTAGGTGTTAGGGTTAGGGTTGTTGTTGGGGGTGGAACGGAGGTGAACAGGAGTGGTGTCGATGGCGCCGCACATGTTAGGGAGGGAGGTGAGTTCCTCGAAGGCCTGGGTGGTCTCGAGGAGGCGGCGGCGGCCGACGGGGATTTTGATGAACTCAGGGTAGAGCTTGGTGGCGAGGAGGCGCGTGACCATGTTGGTGATTTTGGAGACGAGGTAGGGTTCGAGGGAGTAGCGGGCGGCAAGGGTTTTGGCGGAGAGGCCGTGCGCGAGACGGGAGAGGACCATGGCGACGGCGTAGTCGGAGGGGAGGGAGAGGTTGGAGAGGGCGATGTGGGGCTTGAGCTTGTCAACGACGGTGGTGAAGACCGGGTAGGAGAGGCCGTAGAGGGAGCGCCAGTGGGCGTCGCGGAGAGGGGCTTCGAGGGACCAGATGTGTTCCGTGGAGAGGGCGCGGAAGGCGGAGACGGAGTAGTCGGAGGAGGCGTTGTTGTTGGCGGTGGTGTTGTTGGGGTTGTTGGTGGTGGTGGTGGTGTTGGGGTTGGGAGGGGAAGAGGAGGGGCGCGTGGAGGCGACGTAGGAGAGGACGGAGGCGATGGTGAAGAAGAGGAGGGGGGCGATGGAGGAGGAGTGGAGTAGGGAGGAGGGGGTGGCGGTGGTGGAGGAGAGGGCGTCGGAGAGGAGGGAGGTGGTGGGATCGAGGGAGTTGTGGAGGTGGAGCAGATTGGATAGCATTACCAGGAAAGATTGATCCATTCCCTTTCCCTTTCCCCTTCTCCCTCCCTCGCCTCCTAAACCTCTCACCGCTGCTTCTCTTCTCTTCACAATCACGTTAGGTCAACAATCCAGATCCCCTTCTCTTCTTCCTTTTCTAATTTCTATTTCTACGTTTATTATACTCGTATATACGTGGGAGAGAAACTAAAACCTAGAACCTAAGAAACAACGCTGCTGCTTCTTCTTCTTTTCTGATGCGGTGCTTCCTAACTCACACCTACTCAACTCCTTCGCACGCTCACTTCACTTCCTTCCCCACTACTCCGATGCCTATACAATTACCACCCAAATACTAACCACCACACTTGCTCCTCTTTTCCCTGTACGTGAGCTTACTTTAACGTCATGTTTGGTGTTTTTAAATTCAATCCAGAAAAATAAAATTAAGATCAGAAAAAACATAAAAGATATATTGTTTGTTGAAATCATTAGGTGATAAGTAAAAATGAATTATATTTTTAACGCTACTATACTTTATTATACTTTATTCATATTTTTTTAAATTATTATTAACATTTTAAGATTTTGCTTAAAATTAATATAATTTAATCAATAAATAAATTTTATTAGAAATTGATACAAGATACTTAGAAGATCTCTAGACGAACTCTTTAATAAAAATTAGTGGAGAATAAATATTAATATTTTATTATGAATCTTAGAAATAAGTTGATTAAAATTTATGTTCTAATTTTAATATGAGATTTATAATAAAATATTTATTTTTATTTTTAAGTAATTTTCATTAAAAGACTGTGAGATCTTAATTAGAATCTTTTCTAGGATTTTTTTTATATTTTTTTAATTAATCAATCTTATTTAACAGGAACTTCGTTCTAGTTTTAATAACCATGTCTTTATATTTTTAATCTTGATTAGCAAGGATCTCATCCTTCTTCTCTACGCCTCTTTGATAACTCTTTTTTTATGTCAGGAAATGTGGAAGCATCACCAAATCCTCCTGACTATTTGTATGCTCTATCTTTTCAATTATGGGAGCTACCTTTTTAACTCCACGGCTAAGTAAGGTCAGAGTTTGATGTGTAATGAAAAAGTATGTCTAATTAAAAGAAGGATCTTGATTCACTGCACCCAATTTCTCTATCCACGCGTTAGACACTCAGACTTTTATTTATTTATTTATAGTTGAGGTGGTAAGTCAAATTGAAAATAAATTAAAAAATAAAAAAGGAACTCGAAACTTTATTTATAAAAGAACGAAATTAACGCAAAAAGAATATTGTTACAGGAGATACCACTTCTATTTTCCATTTTGTTACTGAAGAGACATCGAAAAGATATTTACCCCCTCCGTCATTTTCACAGTTTTAGAGCTATCGTGGTTGATAGTCGGAGATAGAAAAAGTTAGTTATATTATTTGACAAGCGTCGTGCCTCCCTTAGCTTGGGTTGCACTCTCTCTATTCTCGGTGAGTGTTAATCATGTTTCTCTATTTTCTATTATTCAGGGTGTAATGATTTTGGTAATAATTGGATAACTTACAGTTAAAATTGTACTCTTTTTTTTTTTCAATGTTGAGTGTGCCCATTGCTTGGGAATCGGAATTGTAAAAAGGAGTTCTTGTTAGTGTTGGGTAATACGAGGTTATTGTGAGTGAAATAGAATAGGGTGCACCTCTGGATATGCTTCGTTTACTGTATGCTTAAATCTAGTCATACGTTTTGGGAATCAAATTGAAATGACAAAGGTGAAAACTTGGTGGGTTTAAAGTATTGGAAGCCACGTGAAATATAGGAAAAAAAAAATCCAAAA